ACACAATTCTTGGTTGGAACCCATTTTCTTTCAGTGTTTGAAATATGTTATTCCAGGATCTTCTAGCTTTCAGAGTCTGTGTTGAAAGATCAGCTGTTATCCTGATTGGCTTACCCCTAAATGTGATCTGCTTCCTTTCTCTTGTAGCTTTTAAAATTCTCTCCTTATTCTGTATGTTGGGCATCTTCATTATAATGTGTCTAGGTGTGGATCTCTTATGATTTTGCACATTCGGCGTCCTGTAGGCTTCTAGGATTTGGGATTCTGTCTCATTCTTCAAGTTTGGGAAGTTTTCTCGTATTATTTCATTGAATAGACTGCTCATTCCTTTGGTTTGGAGCTCTGTACCTTCCTGTATCCCAATGACTCTTAAGTTTGGTCTCTTAATGTTATCCCATATTTCTTGGATGTTCTGCTCATGGTTTCTTAACAGTCTTGCTGAGCTGTCTATGTTCTTTTCAAGTTGAAATACTTTATCTTCATTGTCTGATGTTCTATCTTCTAAGTGTTCTACTCTGCTGGTAGTGTTCTCAATTGAGTTTTTAAGTTGGTTTATTGCTTCCTGCATTTCTAGGATTTCTGTTTGTTTGTTTTTTATAACCTCTATCTCCCTGTATAGTTGATCCTTTGCTTCCTGGATTTGTTTGCGTAATTCATTGTCGAAGTGATCTTTCATTGTCTGATTTTGCTGTCTAATGTCTTCCTTGATACTCCAGATCATCTGAAGCATGTATATCCTGAATTCTTTATCTGACATTCCATCTGCTGCAGCTGTTACCTCTCCTAAAGTTGTGTTGACCTGCATTGCTTGTGGTCCTTTCTTTCCTTGTCTTTTCATACTGCTTGCGTATCTTTCCTGCAGGCGCGGGTGGCGGCTCTGCTCTCTCCTTATTCCAATTGGGGTGTCGTGGCTACCACGCCGGCAGGTCACTGGGCCTGTTCTGGGCGCTGGCGGCGGCTTTGTTCTGCCCCTACTCCAATTGGGGTGACGAGTGTACCCCGCCGGCAGGCCACCGGGCCTGATCCGCCGGTCGGTTGCAGGTTTGCCTACCCTGCAGGCGCGGGCGGCGGCTCTACTCTGCCCCTACTCCAAATGGGGTGACGTGTCTGTCGTCCCGGCAGGCCACTGGGCCTGTCCCGCTGGTCGGTCGCAGATCTGCCCACCTTTCGGGCACGGGTGGCGGCTCTGCTCTGCCCCTACTCCAATTGGGGTGTCGTGACTACCCCGCCTGCAGGTCGCTGGGCCTGTTCCTGGCACGGGCGGCGACTCTGCTCTGCCCCTACTCCAATTAGGGTGGTGTGTGTACCACGCCGGCAGGCTCCTGGGCCTGATCCGCCGGTCTGTCGCAGGTCTGCCTACCTTGGAGGCACGGGCGGCGGATCTGCCCTGCCCCTCCTACCATGCCTGCGGACCCCTGGGCCTGATCTGCAGGTTGGTCACAGGTCTGCTCACCCTGCGGGCACGGGTGGCGGTTCTGCTCCACCCCCACTCCAATTGGGGTCACGTGGCCACCACACCGGCAGGGCCTGATCCGGGCGTGGGAGAAGGATCTGCTCTGCCCCTACTCCAGTTGGGGTGACGTGTGTACCACACTGGCAGGCCACTGGGCCTGACCCGCCAGTCTGTGACAGGTCTGTTTACCTTGCAAGCGCGGGCGGCGGCTCTGCCCTGCCCCTCCTACCACGCCCATGTACCACTGGGTCACGGGTCTGCCCACCTTGCGGGTGCGGGTGGCGGCTTCGCTCCGCCCCCTCTCCAATTGGAGTCACGCGGTCACCACGCTGGTGAGCCGCTGGGCCTGCTCCGGGCGCTGGCGGCGGCCCGGCTCCTCCCCTCTGGCTCGACGACAAATTGAGGAGACTCGGGTGTCTGTGCCTCACCCCCCCTACCAGGAGACCAACTGTTTCTGTCGCCGCTGGTATTGATGAAGTTCTCTCCTCCGCCACTTTCTGATGACATCAGATCTCTGCCATGTTGGTATCCTATGCAAATGGCAGCATTTCGTTCCCCTTGCCGGGCAACCAAAGCAACGGGTGAGTCCTGACCGGCCCTCAGCAGGACCCGGACCGAGAAGCAGTTTCCGTGGGCTCCTAACCCTGGGCCAGGGCAGTTCCGGGAGCCGGAACTTGGCCGCTCCGTGCTCGGTGTAAGCTCCGATAAGAGTAGGCTCCAAGAAGCAGTCCCCGCGGGCTCAGTTCCATTATTTTTTCCCTCTTAAATGCACTATTATGTATTTATTTCTAGAGAACTTCGTATAATACTTTTTGTCATACTTCTTTTAACTAATTATACACATTCAGAATCTGCTTCCCCAAAATCTTAGCCTCTCAGTTTGGTGACATTGGCAAGTTTCATGAGTACATTTAATTATGTGTCTCTTTTTGTAAGTGATTAACAAAATATTAAAAACTGACAAACTCTTATGACAACAATCCTCCCTAAGTGATCTTAACCCTAACACCCAGACTTGAAAGCCACTTTTAAAAATTTGTGTTTTTTTAGTTATACTGACAGTAGAGTATATTTTGACATATTCTACATACGTGGAATATTCATGGAGTATTCTTGTCATTGTACATGACCTGGAGTTACCCTGGCCATGTATTCATATATGAACATAGGAAACTTATGTCTGCTTCATTCTGCTATCTCCTATTCCCATCCCCTCTCCATTCCCTTCATTCCCATTTGTCTAATCCAAAGCACTTCTATTCTTCCCTATACTCCCCTTATTGCGTGTTAGCATCAGGTATCAGGGTGAACATTCAGGCTTTGGTTTTTTGGGATTGGTGAAAAGCCACATTTTAGGGACAACTTGCTAGTCTGTGATGCAGGGTGGTTACACAGTGATGGTGTGTGACATGGAACTAAGTAACAAGGCTGAAAAGTGAATCAAGACCTAATAAATGTAAAAGTTCCATGGGATGATCAAGAAAGTAGAGCCAGGGGAATAACTATATTTTAATTCCTCTGAAACTTTAGAGATACTTAGTATAATAACAAAACTTGTACAATAGTATCTGACTTCTTCCCCAAGATTTAGAAGTGAACTTGTTAGTCCTAACATAGCTAACTTATTTTTGAGTCCTAGTTGCTTCTATAATTATCATTCATAAAATAAAGTTTACAGTATGACTAAGGTGTTGTAAAACTTAAATAACAAATGTAAAGGTCTAGCACAATGTATCGTACCTAATAAGTACTAAATAAATGGTTGTTCTTATTAATGATAAAGTAGCTGCAATTTCTGAGCACCTTTGATAAACTAGCTGATACAGAATAGTTACGTTGAGTCATCTGGTAATTTCATTTATTTAACACTAAGCCAAAACTGAAACCTTAGTGAATGTTTTGTTTCTAAAGTCTGCCTCTGATTTCAGTTTAGGACCCACCCTGGAACCTGAGGAAGTGGTAGACAAGCTAATGAATGGGATCCTGACTGAGAAAAGGATGATTTTGGTTCCCTCCTCTCTAAACTTTTTACTTATCTTGGAAAAGTAAGTAACAGTTAAGTTTGTCAGCATTGGAAGTGAACATTTATCTCTTACATGTTTTTAATTCATATTTTAAACCAGACAGTTGATAAAGTGTAATTAAATAGAGTTAAATTAAGAAAAAACAATAGACTCAAAGATTCTATCAATTTTTTTTTAAAAAAACCACACAGGTTAATCAGGTAGGTGAGATTGGTATAACCATTGAGTAAACCAACTGAATCATGTCCACATGTTTTTACATTCATTTTGTTTTTTAAAAAATGTTTATTTCTGGAAGTCTTGTCTTACAAATGAATGACTATGAAGGATATTTTAAAGCATTTTCACATAGAAAAATCATAGGGCAATGAGATAAAAGAAGACCCTAGTTAGGTTTTAGATATTCATTCTCAGATATCATTCACCTTTTATTTTGTGGGAAATCATAGTGAAGCATAGGAATTGCTAAATGATCTTTTATCATTTTGGAGATCCTTGAGCTTTACTACTTCCAGTGGGGTCCATGGACTACCTCCATCAGTGTCTTGGGAAGTTTGTTAGAAATACAGAATCTCCTGATCTCTTGAATGAGAACTTTCTATGATACCAGATGATTTGTACACATATTAAAATCCCAGAAGCCCTCCTTTGGAGCAATAGCACTCAACTTTGGAGTACATTGGAATTCACTTGGGGGCTTTAAACAATGCTGATGCCTGAGACCTGCTCCTTAAGATCCATGATGGGCCTAGCTTTCAGAGATGTAGCAACTCTCTGGGGGATTACTAATGTCAGCCCATGTTGGAAACCTCTGGCTTAAAGACTCCCTCATCATGACATATGCCCTGTCATGACTCACTCACCTGAGACAGCAGTGTGGCAGTGAGGCTGTTCAGGTAAGTAGGGGAAACTGCAGAGGAGCCTTGAGTTGACTGGAAGAAGATACCTCTTGCTGCCAGTACCTAACTTCAGGCTTCTCCAAGTTGGTGGAGATCAGGATCACTAGGGAAATTTAAAAAATAGATTCCTGGATCTCACTTCTAAAAATTTTAATATGGGATAATTGAGTTGGGACTCAGAAATATGTATTTTAACAGATAACTGCTACCAGAAGTTACCTGTTGGTCTAAAGATTATACTTTGAGAATTAATGATCTAGAATACCAAAAGAATTACATATTTAACGGATGACATGTGTCAATCTTTCTAGCCCTTTCTGCTAGAAGCCATGGTTGAATATGTCCTAGACATTTAGGTATAAGGCTCCAGGTGTCCTTGATGAGAAATGAGTGAGAACCTGTTTTTAGCATTGTGTGTGTCTCATTGCATAAATAAGCACTCAGTGTTATGGCCCTTAAGAATGTAACTCTCTGGGAGAGAAAAATTTGCCAATTTTTCATCACTATATCCCCTGTACTTTGAAAAGTGACTGGCACATAGAAAGCACTAAAGTCATTCTGATTTCTAGAACTTTAACAAAGTTTGTACTCCGGAGTTGAATGAAGCTGTGTTTGGGACTTGCTGTCAACAGAAACACAGATCAGTTACTGAACTTCTTTGAAGCTCAGTTTCTTCCTCTATGAAATGGAAAAAACAGTAGGACTTTTTGAGGCTGAGATGAGTAAATAAAACATTTAAAGTACTCTGTATTTATACTATGAGTACTCAATGAATGTTATGTGCTGCTATTTACTATTATTATTACAACTACAATTACTGTCATTGCCTTAATTCCCCCCCATGAGGGCTGGCTATTCAATTTCCAAACCCTATTTTAATGCTGTCTGTCAGATCTCTGTATATTACAGTGACTTAAAATTCTGTTTCTCTCAAGCACATTGGAATATTACAAGCTCCTGAATATTCTTTTAACTATATGTTGGGAAATGAGACATACTACATATCTATCACTGTTCAATACATTTTTTTATCAACACTAGATTCCTCACAGGAGGGCTGGAGTTGTAGCTCCATGGTAGAGTGCTTGCCTAGCATGTGTGAGGCACTGTGTTCGATCCTCAACACCACATAAAAATAAATAAACAAATAAATAAATAAAGGTTATGTGTCCATCCACAACTAAAAACAATTTTAAAAAAAGATTCCTCACGGAACACTTGGGAGAGAGAGATTAATTTTTCCATTTACATGTGAGGGATTTAAACTCAAAGGTCAATTAATTTGTTCATCAGTATTCTCAAAACTAAGTGCATTGGCTGCCTTTCTGTTTAGCAGTTCTATTTCCCCAATCTTTAGTGGAACATTTAAGTAACATTCTGAATTATAAAGTATAAAATTAGCTTCTATTCTCACTTATTTTTCATTGTCATGTTTCTATTTTTAACCCTTTAGTATCTCAACTATTCTGTTCTTCATGCCTCTTCCCTTAGATATTCTGAAAAACATAGGAGTATATTTATTTCAAAAATAAATATAAACGTCAAAGATAAGTACATATGTGTATATACATATGTGTATATATATGTATATGTGTGTATGTGTGTTTATACATGTATATGTATATTTACAAAAAATATTCAGGTCACTCCTACCCTTTTGAAAAGGAAATGAATTTAATAGGAAAAAATATATAATACAAACTCAGAGTTAAAGTTCTTAATCTTATCTAAGAGGAACATGACCTGATTCAGGAGAAATTAAAGTATTTTAAAAGAAGATATTTTGCAAATGCACTTAATGTTTATTTCCTAATTATTTTTATGTATCTTTCTTCTAGGTTCTTACCTCAACGTTTCCGGGAAATTTTAAAAAAAAGAGTAAAAATTAAGTTTGATGCAGTTATTGGATATAAAGTAAAAGAACAATAAGAACCTGATTTTCTTAAAAACTTATTTACCAGGTTTCAGTTGATTTCATCTAATAATAATAAAAACTTTAATATTTTAAATCATTTTCCCTTATTATCCTATTTTCCTCAATATCACCTTTGGGGGCCATGCCATACTGGCTTATTACCACTTGTTCTGTAGGTAAAAGCTAACTTCATGGAATACAGACATAGATCTTAAAAGTTGACCTTATGGAAAATGAGGAGAAAAGAACAAAAGCAATTTCATCACAATAATTTCTCAGATTTTGTGACTCATCTACAGGTTTTCAAAATTTGTACTATAAATGTTTAAGATATCATATTTTTAATTGCATTACATTTTATATAACTGGCATATATCCTTTTCTATTCTGTATAAAATCATAATTTCAAACTCCAGATATAATGAAGGGTTACATGTCTAGTAGCATTTCACAGTGAATTTTGTGATCTTTCAAGTGTTGCATCCTACATGTTACCACTATTTCCTGAGACATGCTTCACATTTTGAAGTCAAACATTTCAGCATAAAGAAACTAGAGATGGATACGTGTTACAAATTTAAAAGCATCACCGGGATTTAAGGCAGAGAATTGGGAGAATGTACTTATAAATGCAACAATAATAAATTGGGCCAAATATCAACTTTTGTTGTTTCCATCTTTTTGTCTTAAACACCACATAGTTTAACCTTCAAATTAAAGGAAAATCAATCATGATAAAAGGTCTCTTTTTAAAGTGTCTAGAAATTTCTTAAGTATGAAGCTCAATGAGATCAGACTGTAAGTTTAGACCTTTAAATGGAAAAAATAAGTATGATTGTTGGGGACCTACTAAAGAAAAATATTTTTTGACTGCCTCGGTCACATGTACATGAAATAAATATTGTTGATCTTTATATCAGATGGTTATATTCAGAAAACATGAAAGAACCACTGATCCCCGTGGAATGTAGCAAATGAGCAAATTTTAAGCTCAGAAATGTCAAGGTAATAGATTTTTATCCATATTAATAATGTTTATATAACATGTCAAATGCTAAAAGCTTCACTTATTCAACAAGTCATCTCATCAGTGTCAATGCAAATTATGAGAATCATGGTAATCTGTTTAAGGCAAGTTGTGCTATGGATTCTACAAGATTTCTCAGAAGGCATTGTTCCACATTATGTTTCTCCCTCTTTTCCATAAATTACCTTATACAGTAAATACAGTAAGCTTCTAACTCACTTAGAAATAGATTTGTTAACTTAATACCTGTATCAGCTTGCCTGCCAATGAAGTAAGCTAAGAGAAAGCCTTTAGGAAACTTCAGTAAGATCATTTAGCATACACCAAAGTATACTGATAGTATTCCCCTTTTCCCAATAAATATGTCTTGGCTCCTAAAACACTCATCAGAAATTACTTGGATGAACTTTAACATTAACCATGATGAGAAATAAGCATTCTTCTTTGGATATTATATGACAGAATGGTAGTCTATCCCATTTATTGAATGTTAACCATATGTCAGGCACAGTTTGCCATTTAACCCCATGGCAATCCTGTGCAGTAGGATTGTTAGAAGGACTTGAACTAGCTGTGGATGTGGCAGTGGATGTAGAAACCCAGAAAAGGAGCCTTTGAGTCTGGAGCCCCACTCTGCAGGAAAGAAACAGATTTGTTGATGGAGGTTCTTGATTTTGTTCTCTGCATTTTTTAAAAGCTTATTCTAATTTACCAACATTAAGCAATTTCTCCTGAGGCTCAAAGTCTGAAAACATTTAAATGTTATTTGAATGAAGTTAAGCCTAACTTGAAATCTACCTCTCAATAGTTAGATGAGAAAATCCATCTGAGTCATCAGAACTTCTAAGGGTCACACCCAAAGAGGCTTATGTTGTCATTAGTTAAATTGAGAAAGACTCCTTTGACAGTCACAGCTCTCTTTTTTGAGGTACAGACTTCTTCTGCCTGCAGTCAGAAACCCAGCGTCCCTCGACAAACCCCAAGGCCTTCCTTTGAATCCTTGACATCCTTCTGGAACCTTACCACAGGACTGTTACACTTACTGGCCTCTTTCTTCTTCCTTTGAGAACATTCCCAGGCTTTCCCACCACCCACCCCCAACCCCAGGCCGCCATTCTCACTTGACAGAAAGTAGTCTTTTTATTGGGAACTGGGATTAGAAAGAGTGGAAAATCTAAAACTGACCCTTAGTACATCTTCAACACCAACTTGGCTGCTGGCTAAATGGTTCAATGTTATTATGAAGAAGGGAAACAATGATCAAGAACCAAATGTGCTTCCTTTGACAATTCTGTGTGGTAGACCCCCTTATCCCCATTTTATGGATAATCATATCCCAGAGAAGTTGAAACAACCTACCTAAAATTCTGTAGCTAATTAGAAATCAAACTCTGGATAGAAAATCGCGACTTACTGACCTATCATAGAGCCTCACTGGGATTCTCAGAGAGTTGAATTATTGTTCTAAGCACCCTTCCATTTACCCTACTTCCATTTACCCAAACTTTCCTTGGAATTCAAACAATATTTTAAAATCACAAGTAGGAATCTACAACAGTAACAAACTATTCAACCATTTTAAGATGCAATAAATGCTACAATGCAGATGCCCAATTATTCCACCTGAAAAAGGCCCAGCCTAGCCTATTCCTATTATCATCACAGTCTAAAGTTTCCTGAAATCAAAATAAATATAAATCAATATTGGGAGAGTGTTAACCCACTCTGGACACTAAATTCTTCCCCAAAGTAGGCAGGAATTTTCACTTGGCTTGAGCACCAATATGGCTACAAAAAGTTGTGGGGGTTTTTTGTTTTGATATCTAGGATGACTAAGTCAAGCCCAGATTCAGTGACCTAGAGGTATTTTTTACTTACATAGTCTTCCCTACAATTTCAGGTGGCCTCAAACTGCAGAACATGCCCTGGGAAATCTCATGTAAGCTAGCTGTTCCTGAACTTCCATTTCCTCATCCATAAAATAATTAAATTAGACTACATAATCTATATCATCTCCAGTTCCAGTTAAGTAAATGTCTTCAACTCAACATATGCAAAGTTTAACATCTCCTGTACCTCATCTGTGTTACCTAATAGAGAATGACACTTACAAGTGCCCAAGCCAAAAGCCTGGAGTTATCCCTACCTCACCAAAATCCCACCACACACATACACATACCAGTCACCATCCCTACATTTCTTTTTCCAGCCTAGATCGTCCCTCTGAACTCCAGACACATAGCTAAGTTCCTAAAATATCTCCACTGTACCACCAGCAGACATTTCAATGGGAAAAGGAAAAGGCAGAGTTCAGAAAGTATTTGAGTTTAATAAAATTCTAAATACTATAGATGATTTTAGCTTAATTGAGAAAATTTTACTTGAGAATAACATCCTAAAATGTGATATGAAGAAAATGAATGACAAATTCAAGTTACCTTCACTGATATCAGAAGAAAAAAACTGACCTAAAAACATGATTAAAGTAAACTAAACATTTTTATTATTAAAATATGTTAAAATGAAGCTAATGGTGTCATAAAGACATACAAACAAAATGTCTCCAAAAATTAGGTAGGGAGGGCAGGGAACAGGGAGTAGATTGTATATTTCTAGCATTATTGAAGGAAGTATATAGGAACCTATATATTTGAGGAACAGAAAACAAAAATGGTAGTTCACCAGGTAATATCTCTCTCTTCTCACCTTTGTGGTACTAGGGATTAAACCCAGGATTGCTTTGCCCTGAGTCACATCTCCAGCCCTTTTTATTTTTAGACAGGGTACAGTAGGTTGCTGAGATTGGCTTTGAACTAATGACCCTTCTGCCTCAGCCTCCCAAGTTTCATTAGGTAATCTCATAGACAAAAAGTTTTAAGCATCCAAACTATTTGAGAAAAATATTGTTTTTCACTTTCTTGGTGTTTCTTATTTCTTGGATAACACAAATACCCCAGAAACAAAATAATCTAGACTCTATAAATTTTTAAACGGTTTTTCAGATGTATATCAGTAGCATACGGATTTAGATGGTGTTGTCCTCTGGTCTAGCTCCCTCTGAGCAAACTGACTGTTGCCTTTAGAGACACTCAACCTGAAAACAGATTTCTGCATTGCAGCCCAGCATGAGAATTAATCTAACCTACCCATGTTAATATTTAAGAGTTTATATAAATAACACTGCAAAACTGCATGCCGAATAGTCAAGCACTTATATATACATATATACACATATCTGTGTGTGCGTCTGTGTGTACACATACTCGAGTTTCAAACTTAACCAATTATACTCTCTCCGATGCAAAATGGTATAGCATAGGTCAGAGGGTCTCAGACTCACCACTACTAAAATTTGGGGCTGGATAATTCTCTGTTTTAATGCACAGGACGGGGCTAAAGATGTGGCTCAACAGTACAGCACTTGCATAGCATGCATGAGACCCTGGGTTCAATCCCCAACCCCACAAAAACACAAAACAAAACAATGCACAGGACTGTCCCATGCATTGTAAGATGTTGCAGCATCCCTGGCCTTTACCCACTAGATGACAGTAGCATGACTGATTTGTGGCAATCAAAAAAATCTCTCAGATATGCACTCATGTACCCTGTAGTACAAAAGCAGCGCTAATTCAGAAACTTGTTAAGTTACAAGTTGGGGCTTCAGAATCAGACTTTCTGGGCTTAAATTTTCATTCCACTTCTTACCAGTCATGTAACTGTCAACAAGTTACTTATTTGCCCTAATTTCAGTTCCTCATCTATACAATACAGATTTTAATGGTTTCCACCTCAATTATATATTGTGAGGATTAAATATTCATAGTCCCTGGCATATGGTGTGTGCTTAATAAATTCAGCCCATTACTATGTGTTTTAGTCAGCTTTTTTGCTGCTGTGACTAAAAGATCCAACAGAACAACTGTAGAGGAGGAAAAGTTTATTTGAGGGTTCACAGTTTCAGAGGTCTCTATCCAAAGATGTCTGGCTCCATTTCTTGGGGCTCAAGATGATGCAGAACATTGTGGAAGAAGAGTGCTGCAGAGGGAAGCAGCTCACATGGTGATCTGGAAGCAGAGAGAGTCCACTTGACAGATAAAAATATACCCAAAGCCATGCCTCAATTCCCACTTCCTCCAGCCATACCCTACCACCTCAGTTACCACTCAGTTAATCCCTATCAGGGAATTAAATTACCGATTGGGTTAATATTTCTCCTCTAAACCTTCTTGCACTAACACATGAGCTCAATAGTAATAGTAACACTATTACTATTATTTCATTTCTGTAACCATCCCAAAGAGTGGAAAGAACTCCTGTCCATCAACAGATGAATGGTACAGTACATAAATAGTGGAATATTATTCAACTTTTAAAATGAAGGAACCTTTCTACTCTGGAGGCTAAGACAAGAGGGTTGTAAGAGAATGACACAAGTGCCCAAGTGCCTAAGGCCAGCCTGGGCAACTTAGCAAGCTACTTGTAAAGCCATTTCATATGTATGCTCTCTCTTTGATCCTTATAACTGCCTTGTGTAAAGGAAGGTTGACATTGTGATGTGGGGAAAAGGTCTGTATTGGGTAAAGCGAGCTTTATCTGTATTTTCCAGAAAAGGAAACTAAAACAGAGAAAAA